TGTTCGCGATCGTGAACAACTCGAGTGGTTTCGAGACCCAGAACGTTCGGCTGTGGCGCGACTTCAACGCTTTATCGATGCATTGACGCCTCCGCGCAACACTGCATGGAAGCACGCGAGCCAAATCCGGGTCAGCGCCATTGGCAACTTCCGCTGGTCATCGGACTGACCACCGCTGCTCGTCGCGCGGGACTCGTGGGACTGCGACTCGATTTATTAGAGCCTGACAGTTGACTAGCCTTTGTCCCAATGGGCTGCACGATTGGCTCACTACGTGTATCCTACCGGCTCTTATATAAGATACCGCAGGTGTTAAATTTGGAAAGTAGCCTCTCCTGAATATGTCTTGCGGAGGAACCCGTTTTTGCTCACTTCGTTAAAGCGCAGATATAATAGTTTGCAGGGACATGGGCTCCTTGGCTCAAGTGCTTTGGCAAAGCCCAGGCCGGGTCCCCTTATCAAAGACCTTGTCCTCGCTTGCTCGGGCGCTTCAATTCCGGTTGCTGCCCTGGTACGTCGTAGAACGACTCGTTCTCCTTTGCCGCCGTTTGCGCCGGCCTTGCAGCAAATCTGCCATTGCGCTTCGTCGGCTCGCGCCAGCCTCGTCCCGTGTGTACAGCACACGTTGAAGTTGCCTCCACACTGGCACAGTGCCGCGTTGTCAGTGCGTGCGAGTCGCACCAAGCAACTCGGAGGCGTGCTAGCGCTTGCGACCGCTGAAATGCGCTGCGTCCCCAAACATAGCTAGCAGATCACCGGCGGTGCTGCAAAGGCTCGGAAACTCACAATCAACAACTCGTTTTAATCTTGGTGGCCGCCCGCCTCATCTCGTTGGCCGTTTTCCTTCTGCTCTCCTAGCAGCAGTGTGGTGTATTAATGCGTTACGCGTTGGCAATCCGTTTGATGTAACGACGGTGGTGGTTTTCTTCACATGGTGTCGATTGCTGTGTCTACCAGGTGGTGGACCACCATTGCTCTGGGAATGAATTACACTATGCACCTACCATTACGGCACAGTGCGTTAGCCAACGAGGTCAAACTGGTTGCCATGCTGGTAGGCTCGATAATCACATTGCACCAGTATCAGCGCTGCTGGCGCCTTGTATCAATCTACTCTCCTGCGTCAGCAGTTTAGCACAGCAACAAGAGAAATACGTAGTGAAGAGTCTGCATTGAAGACAGCCCTGTCAAGCCAGAAGCAACAGTATGATGTCCACAACAACAGCAACGGTAGCAGTGTTCTGGTGGTTCGGCTCGCTTTTTTCGCAGTCGAGATCCTGTAGTCTAGCAATCAGATAGGCGTGCACGCCGTCTGCTGCCTCGGCTCAGCGGCATAGCTCCGCAACAACTGATCAACGCATGTTCTAGCATCTCGACAACCGCTGCCGCAACGAAAGATCAGCGCTCATGA